TTTTAAATTGAAGATCGAATTCATTCATTGTATTCATATAGGGTCAAGGAGTGTAGTTATAAAAATCATTAAAATCGGAGTTAAAATAACCGTTAAATCGTGATTTTTCGTTTATAACCGTTGAAAAGCTTTGTCCCGTTACTTGATCTCTGAATGTTTTTTTTTTGTGATTTTTTGCTGATGTGATCTCCAAGCATATACAAACAATTTTGACGGTTTGGATCGTTGAAATTAGTTTTGGAGAATTCGTAAAACGATAGATTGACTAACACTTAGAGTTTATTTATACTTTTATTAAGTATAACATAAGATTTTGTGGTATCCACTTGTGTAAATATTTTAAATTGAAGATCGAATTCATTCATTGTATTCATATAGGGTCAAGGAGTGTAGTTATAAAAAATCATCAAAATCGGAGTTAAAATAACCGTTAAATCGTGATTTTTTGTTTATAACCATTGAAAAGCTTTGTCCTGTTACTTGATCTCTGAATGTTTTTTTTTGTGATTTTTTGCTGGTGTGATCTCCAAGCATATACAAACAATTTTGATGGTTTGGATCGTTGAAATTAGTTTTGGAGAATTCGTAAAACGATATATTGACTAACACTTAGAGTTTATTTATACTTTTATTAAGTATAACATAAGATTTTGTGGTATCCACTTGTGTAAATATTTTAAATTGAAGATCGAATTCATTCATTGTATTCATATAGGGTCAAGGAGTGTAGTTATTAAAAATCATTAAAATCGGAGTTAAAATAACCGTTAAATCGTGATTTTTCGTTTATAACCGTTGAAATGCTTTGTCCCGTTACTTGATCTCTGAATGTTTTTTTTTTGTGATTTTTTGCTGATGTGATCTCCAAGCATATACAACAATTTTGAAGGTTTGGATCGTTGAAATTAGTTTTGGAGAATTCGTAAAACGATAGATTGACTAACACTTAGAGTTTATTTATACTTTCATTAAGTATAACATAAGATTTTGTGGTATCCACTTGTGTAAATATTTTAAATTGAAGATCGAATTCATTCATTGTATTCATATAGGGTCAAGGAGTGTAGTTATAAAAAATCATCAAAATCGGAGTTAAAATAACCGTTAAATCGTGATTTTTCGTTTATAACCGTTGAAAAGCTTTGTCCCGTTACTTGATCTCTGAATGTTTTTTTTTTGTGATTTTTTGCTGATGTGATCTCCAAGCATATACAAACAATTTTGAAGGTTTGGATCGTTGAAATTAGTTTTGGAGAATTCGTAAAACGATAGATTGACTAACACTTAGAGTTTATTTATACTTTTATTAAGTATAACATAAGATTTTGTGGTATCCACTTGTGTAAATATTTTAAATTGTAGATCGAATTCATTCATTGTATTCATATAGGGTCAAGGAGTGTAGTTATAAAAAATCATCAAAATCGGAGTTAAAATAACCGTAAAATCGTGATTTTTCGTTTATAACCGTTGAAAAGCTTTGTTCCGTTACTTGATCTCTGAATGTTTTTTTTTGTGATTTTTTGCTGATGTGATCTCCAAGCATATACAAACAATTTTGACGGTTTGGATCGTTGAAATTAGTTTTGGAGAATTCGTAAAACGATAGATTGACTAACACTTAGAGTTTATTTATACTTTTATTAAGTATAACATAAGATTTTGTGGTATCCACTTGTGTAAATATTTTAAATTGAAGATCGAATTCATTCATTGTATTCATATAGGGTCAAGGAGTGTAGTTATAAAAAATCATCAAAATCGGAGTTAAAATAACCGTTAAATCGTGATTTTTCGTTTATAACCGTTGAAAAGCTTTGTCCCGTTACTTGATCTCTGAATGTTTTTTTTTGTGATTTTTTGCTGATGTGATCTTCAAGCATATACAAACAATTTTGAAGGTTTGGATCGTTGAAATTAGTTTTGGAGAATTCGTAAAACGATAGATTGACTAACACTTAGAGTTTATTTATACTTTTATTAAGTATAACATAAGATTTTGTGGTATCCACTTGTGTAAATATTTTAAATTGTAGATCGAATTCATTCATTGTATTCATATAGGGTCAAGGAGTGTAGTTATAAAAAATCATCAAAATCGGAGTTAAAATAACCGTAAAATCGTGATTTTTCGTTTATAACCGTTGAAAAGCTTTGTTCCGTTACTTGATCTCTGAATGTTTTTTTTTGTGATTTTTTGCTGATGTGATCTCCAAGCATATACAAACAATTTTGATGGTTTGGATCGTTGAAATTAGTTTTGGAGAATTCGTAAAACGATAGATTGACTAACACTTAGAGTTTATTTATACTTTTATTAAGTATAACATAAGATTTTGTGGTATCCACTTGTGTAAATATTTTAAATTGAAGATCGAATTCATTCATTGTATTCATATAGGGTCAAGGAGTGTAGTTATAAAAAATCATTAAAATCGGAGTTAAAATAACCGTTAAATCGTGATTTTTCGTTTATAACCGTTGAAAAGCTTTGTCCCGTTACTTGATCTCTGAATGTTTTTTTTTTGTGATTTTTTGCTGATGTGATCTCCAAGCATATACAAACAATTTTGACGGTTTGGATCGTTGAAATTAGTTTTGGAGAATTCGTAAAACGATAGATTGACTAACACTTAGAGTTTATTTATACTTTTATTAAGTATAACATAAGATTTTGTGGTATCCACTTGTGTAAATATTTTAAATTGAAGATCGAATTCATTCATTGTATTCATATAGGGTCAAGGAGTGTAGTTATAAAAAATCATCAAAATCGGAGTTAAAATAACCGTTAAATCGTGATTTTTTGTTTATAACCATTGAAAAGCTTTGTCCTGTTACTTGATCTCTGAATGTTTTTTTTTTGTGATTTTTTGCTGATGTGATCTCCAAGCATATACAAACAATTTTGATGGTTTGGATCGTTGAAATTAGTTTTGGAGAATTCGTAAAACGATAGATTGACTAACACTTAGAGTTTATTTATACTTTTATTAAGTATAACATAAGATTTTGTGGTATCCACTTGTGTAAATATTTTAAATTGAAGATCGAATTCATTCATTGTATTCATATAGGGTCAAGGAGTGTAGTTATTAAAAATCATTAAAATCGGAGTTAAAATAACCGTTAAATCGTGATTTTTCGTTTATAACCGTTGAAATGCTTTGTCCCGTTACTTGATCTCTGAATGTTTTTTTTTTGTGATTTTTTGCTGATGTGATCTCCAAGCATATACAACAATTTGGAAGGTTTGGATCGTTGAAATTAGTTTTGGAGAATTCGTAAAACGATAGATTGACTAACACTTAGAGTTTATTTATACTTTCATTAAGTATAACATAAGATTTTGTGGTATCCACTTGTGTAAATATTTTAAATTGAAGATCGAATTCATTCATTGTATTCATATAGGGTCAAGGAGTGTAGTTATAAAAAATCATCAAAATCGGAGTTAAAATAACCGTTAAATCGTGATTTTTCGTTTATAACCGTTGAAAAGCTTTGTCCCGTTACTTGATCTCTGAATGTTTTTTTTTTGTGAGTTTTTGCTGATGTGATCTCCAAGCATATACAAACAATTTTGACGGTTTGGATCGTTGAAATTAGTTTTGGAGAATTCGTATGCCATCAATCAAGTTTCGTGTGTGTGTGTGTATATATATATATATTTATTAAGTAGATTTAAATCTATTTATTTTGTACGTATAAATTATAATTGACTGGTACACAAAATAGTACATACATCACGTGTCACGTGTGTCATTATAAAAATAGTGAGATATGTCATGACAGTCATGTGTGTGATAAAAAGTTAATAACTTAAAAAAAAAAAAAAAAATTCTCACCACTTCTATTAATTTTCATTTTTCCGTCTCTTTTTTGTTTCCTTTTCAACTTTTTCTTATCATTTTCACTTTTCCCTCCAACATCTTTCCCTAATTCCCTCACTTTTTTGTTTCATTTTCAACTTTTCTTAACATTTTCATTTTCCCTCCATTTTTTTTTTCAAAAAGGACGGCAAGTTGGCAACGGCAAGAAATTGATTATTGAAATTTGAATGGAAAGAAATCACATCAAATTTCAATGGATGCAAAATCATGCAATGCATCATGCATATTAAATTATTAATTAATAAATTATTATAGTTTTTATAAAATTTAATATATATATATATAATTATTATAGATAGACTTAATATTTTGGGGGTATAATTATTATAGTATATATAATTATTATAATTATTATAAATTTTATAGTTAATTTAATATATATATATATATATATATTTATTATAATTTTTAGGGGTATAAAATTGTAAAATTAATGTATATAATTATTATAGTATTTTTTTAGGGTTATAAAATTATAAAAATAATATTCTGCTTATCGTGTATCGTGTTACCCACGTGTATACCCGAACCAACCCGTTATCTTAACAGGTGCTTATCGGGTTACCCGATAACGACCCGATTCGTTATCGTGTCGACCCAAACACCTGTTAATTTCGTGTCGTGTCGTGTCAGGTTATCGGGTCGTGTCAGAAATTGCCAGGCCTAATTCACACTCGTATTTGTTTATGGCCTTAAATTTGAATAATTTATAAGAAAATCGAAGGAAAATATACACGGTGTGCAAAAGGAGAGAATAAATTTCATTTTCCCAATATATGGTTATTCTCCTTTCCCAAGAAAGGTACGATCATCCATCCCAAAGAAAGAGCCTTTAGAGGAGGACACAAAAGCACTCCGATAGAAACAAGACGAGAAAGTGGAAAAGGTATACTTTGAATTTGAGATAGACAGTTTAAAACTCGAGAGAGAGAGAGAGAGAAGAGAGAGAGAATCTCTTGTTTGCCCTACCCCAAAAAACATTTGTCACCTTTGTATCAAAAATAAAGTTAAGAATCTTGGTATTCTTGTTCACAAGAGTCACAATCATGAATCGGGGAAGGCTAAGAATCTTGGGTGTTATGGATGCCTGAAGCAAAACTATTGCATCATCCAAAGGATCGCTTACGGCAGTTTCTCGGCTGGGGTTCCCCAACATTCCTTTTCTACAAATGGAATGCTCTTTCATTGTTAATTGATCACCGAGAATTCAATGGACCTCTCTTTCCTCTGCCTCCTCCTACTCTTCTCAACCGCTGCATTTGTCAATGGTAATTTCTTCGACGCTTAATTTCTCTGAGTTTCGGAAACATGTTCCTCATGCTATATCAAACTCTTTTTATCATATGTGCTTCAACAATTAGTCTTTTACGTGTTAATTTTGAAATTTATGTTCTTCAAATTATTTTTCCTTCCAACCTCTATTCATTCAGCTGGCTAATTAATTTTTCTGTCTTTGTATTTAGTCCATGCATCTTTTACTGGAACATATGGAGTAAACTATGGCAGGATCGCCGACAATATACCTTCGCCTCACAGCGTGGTGACGCTTCTTAAAGCAGCAAAGATAAAAAACATCAGGATATATGATGCTGATCATGAAGTTCTCACGGCCTTCAAAGGATCAGGTATAGAAATAATTGTAGGACTGGGAAATGAGTTCCTCAAAGACATTAGTGTGAATGAGGATCGCGCCACAAATTGGATAAAAGAAAATGTGCAGCCATACATTCCGGGGACTCACATTTCAGGAATAGCAGTGGGGAATGAGATCTTGGGGGGAACTGATATAGAGCTCTCAGAGGTCTTATTGCCTGCCGTAAAGAACGTTTACAATGCACTTAGCCGGCTTGATTTGGCTAACTCCATTCAGGTCTCGAGTCCACATTCGGAGGCTGTGTTTGCAAATTCCTACCCACCATCGGCCTGCATTTTCAAGGAAGATGTTGCTCAATTCATGAAGCCGCTTTTGGAATTTTTCTCACAGATCAAATCCCCATTTTATATAAATGCATATCCATTTCTGGCATATAAGAGTGACCCTGAGCATATTGACCTTAACTATGCTCTCTTCAAGAAAAATGCCGGGATTCATGATACAAAAACCAACCTGCATTACGACAACATGTTTGATGCAATGGTTGATGCGTCGTATTTTGCTCTGGAGAAGGCTGGATTTGACAAGACAGAGGTCATAGTTTCCGAAACTGGTTGGGCGTCTCGTGGGGATGAAAGCGAAGCAGGAGCCAACGCCAAAAATGCCAGGACTTACAACTACAACCTGCGGAAACGGCTGATGAAGAAGAAGGGGACGCCTCATAGGCCAAAGACGGTTGTGAAAGCTTACATTTTTGCTTTGTTCAACGAGAATTTGAAACCGGGGCCGACTTCCGAGAGGAATTTCGGATTGTTCAAAGCTGATGGGAGCATTTCATATGACATTGGCTTCACTGGACTTGTTGGACCTTCTGCAGCATCCTCATCTCTTCTTAACTACAAGGTATGAGTTTCAAAACTACTCATTAATTCAAAGTGTTATTTTTTATTTTATTTTGTTTCTCATTTATCTTGACTTTGGTTTATATTTTCAGGTTTTCACAAGTTGTGCAGCTCTTCTGCTACTATTGTTAGCATCATAATGTCTATGAGGCTGTACAGTTTAAGTGTTTAGGGTTCTTCGATTAACACATATTGTTGCAACATGATCTCGATGTATAGACAATTCGATTATTTTTACGTTATGATTCCATTGTCAAGTTAGATACCAGCCAATATTGCTGACGGTTTTCTAATAATATTCTAGCAGTTTACAATTCCTTTTCTCTTTTTCTTTTATTGTATTTTATTTTCTTACCTAAAATAACGATATTGATTCGAAATTTCAAAAAAACTGGACTGCATTGGTACATGGCATTATGTCTTGGTAAATCCATATCTTGCGATGGCCAACACTACCAGAAATTACTATTTTCCGACAAAACAAATATCGTCACGTAACTTTACTTGACGGAATAAAACATTTTGTTAGGCAAAATTGGTCAACGTTTTGGTTTTTTAGAGACTTTAATTGACAAAAATATTCAACGAGCAGAGTGAACTTCGTCGGGCAAAGATGTTGCACCAAGAAAAAAAATTTGGCGCAAAATTGGTCAATGTTAGAATAAAGCTAATTGGAATAGAGTTACCTCAGAAGTCAGGTCATGTACTCAACAGCTCCGAGCGAGCTGTATCAGACGGAACAGCCGTGCCACCATTACCTTGTTCTGGGAAAACGAAGTCTGAAGCAATTCCACCGGATGACCATGCTTGTTCCGTAAGACAAGGACTTGATCTGGATAAAGACACAATCAGATTCCTCATAAGTCCTAGAGTTCCTACAATCTAGGAATTCGTGTGCACCACAAGTAGATACACTCCTAAGAGGATGCAATATCTAGTCCTATATATCCTCTAGGATTCTTCTGGTTTGGTACAAGGATTCTATCCTCAAAAGGTCTTTCTCTCGGTCAATATAAATACGCTCATCTAAATTCATCTTTTGTAACGCATTCTTAACACAATTATTCTCTTGCCCACTATTTAAGTTTAAAATTGTTTACTAACTTGACAGTTAGAGAGCCTTTGACCGGCGCACCCACTTCTGTCTTGAGCTTACTCACAGATGTTTCTTGTTTTGTAGAATATGTTAATCTGTGCCTCTACCATCCACAGCTGTGTGCAGATTTGGTTCCAACTGTTGGTGCTTTCTTTGAGAGCTAAACTCCTATTCCTCTCGGCCCGTATTAATCTACCATCATGAAAACAGTTCCCAAGCGATCACGCCGCGACGACACTATCGGCACCCTCAACAAAGCGGCTTCCTTCATGAATGAATTATGAGAGAGCATGTTGAAAATTCGTGCGTCGATAAAAAAATCTACAAAAAAGCTTGGTGGCCAAAGAATGAGCAAGGCTGGGGAAACTCGAAAAACGTATGAAGGATTTTGAAAACACCATATTTCACCTAGAAAGGGTAATCTAGGCAACACCTGAAGCACGGCGTGGGAAGCCCAGAAAGACACATAATCCCTTTCCAACTCGATACCCCAAAAATTGCTCTCTCCTCGGAATTAACCACCTGAATAGAAGACGTGAATGCCAGAGGAAGATTCATACTGAAAAAGAAGGAATGTGCTGCAAGCTTCGGTCGACTAACAAGTCACCATCGATCAGCCCGGACACCCCGAAGTTCTTAAATCCTGAAGTTGAAATTGTCCGCCATCTCTGCAACAACATTTTCATTGCTAAACAACAGATTGCCAACACCATGGTTGCACAAGTCCTAGTACATAACCGATCGAAAATTGTCCTTTTTGAGGGAGCGGCCCAGAGAATGAATGTTCTTGGCAACGTCAAGACGTGGATAGCTACTCTCTAAGCCCTTAACGGAACATAGTGCAGACTCTAGGAACGATAAAACTAATGGTTCCGGCAAAACCGCACGGCCAAACAGTGACATTCCTTGTTATGGATCAACCAGCACCTTACAACACCATCCTTGGACAAGACTGGTCACATTATATGGATGCCTCCCTTGTAGCTAACTTCGCGCTACCATATCGCTTAACTCCAAACAAAATCTATCAGAAGCACAACACCCGCAAGAACAAAAGAATCAGGGAACTGCCGACAGAAAACGGAGCCCTCGCTGAAAGACAAATCCCTTCCCATGATATGTAGGGAGTCCTTTACGGACCCAATCGCAACTCTGTTGTCTGCATGAAGGAAATTCATGGAGAACTCATCTCCTAACGCCCCACCATAGGCTTATTGCCCAAAGTGATCTCTGGTGTAAATTCTTACAGTATATCATCTTTTCCTCATAACTACATCAGTGATTTGATTCCCTTTCCCAGAAATATGTAGGCTATCATTTGTGGATTCAATCACACCCTCTTGTCAAACAATCCCATTCCCTTTATCAATAAAGAAGTTCTGGAATCTATCTGTCTTATTTAGTTACGTTCAGTGTTTTGTCAATCTATCAGTCTTCGGAAACTTCGCACGGTTGCAAATTTGACAAAATTCAAAAATAAACACACCCTTAATGTTTCTTTTTGCTTTCCGAACATCTTATTTGAAATAATCTTTTTGACTCATTTGACCGACTGGACTAACAATAACGGAAATGCGATAAAGTCAAGGAACGAAAGTGAAAATTTGAGTAAATTACCAAAACAAATGTGTAGGTAGTTGAATCCCGGATGAAATTAAGCATATTTTTTTTATTCTTTTTTTGGTACAAAAATTAATCAAACTTTATTATATTAAGTAGAAATTAGAATTCGGTGCAACTTTTCTACATCTTCTGGACAAAATAGCTGTGCCTTTTTAAGATTTGATGAAAGTGCTTGTACCAATAGACACCTTAGCGTTTTTTGTTAATTTAAATTACATGTCATTATTGTATTTTTTGAAAATAAAATGTTAATTATTAATTTCTGAATTTATACTTTACTTGTTTGATGTGTTTTTTCATCATTTAGTGGGGATATTAGTTATTAACTTTGTTATCTCTTTTTCTAAATATGTTTTTTTTATGAAAAAAAAAAACAAAAAAAAAAATTGTCCTGCAAGAATTAAACGCTATCTCTTTTTCCTAACAGTTAGTTTTTAGTACCTTTTTTTTATTTTTTTTATTTTTTTATTTTGTTTATTTTTTCTCCAATTGTAACATCCCACATCGCTCAGGAGGGTGAATACGGTAAGCCTTATATGTATATTCCTATTTCTACCTATCACAAGGACTTTTAGGAGCTCACTGGCTTCATGTTTTATTGGAACTCCGAAGTTAAGCGAGTTCGCGCGAGAGCAATCCCATCCCTGGATGGATGACCCACTAGGAAGTTCTCGTGTGAGTTCCTGGAAAAAAAACCATGAGGGTGTGGTAGGGGCCCAAAACGGACAATATCGTGTTATGGTAGAGTCAAGTCCGGGATTTGGCGGGGGCCCGAGCCTAGATGTGACACAAATGGTTGGTGATCCAACATAAAAAGTAATGTATGATTTTTTCACATTTTTTCGTCAACCTATTTTATTTTATTTTATTTTTTACTTGTAGTTGTTGACAAACTATTATTAGGTACAACATATTATGTATATATTACAATTGGGTACGTTTAAATTTGTGAAAATCATTGATTTGTACAGATTGTTAATATTGGTATGTTTATTGTCGTTAGTCCTATTTTTTTTCTTTATATATAGTTCTCGTGTGAGTTCCTGGAAACAAAACCATAAGGGTGTGGTAGGGGCCCAAAATGGACAATATCGTGCTATGGTAGAGTCAAGTCCGGGATTTGGTGGGGGCCCGAGCCTAGATGTGACACAAATGGTTGGTGATCCAACATAAAAAGTAATGTATGATTTTTTCACATTTTTTCGTCAACCTATTTTTTTTTTTTTTTTTTTTTTTTTTTTACTTGTAGTTGTTGACAAACTATTATTAGGTACAACACATTATGTATATATTACAATTGGGTACGTTTAAATTTGTGAAAATCGTTGATTGGTACAGATTGTTAATATTGGTACGTTTATTGTCGTTAGTCCTATTTTTTTCTTTATATATATATATATATATATTATATTGGTACATTTGATTTCATGGGTTTTAAAAATATATTAAACTGTTTTAGAAAAAAAATTATATTAAATCTTAGATAATCATTGTTAAATTGTAGGAAGTATTGCAAAAATAAATTGTACTCAACTACATTTCTTTTACAATTATCTCTAAAGGAGGAGAGGGTAATCAAAATGCTAATAGATGTGCATATAAAACTGAGCCTCCTATATCAAAACATCCCTTACTTAAATCATCGCCATGGTTAATAGATGTGCATATAAATACATTAATATAGGCAATTAAAATGCTTTGAGTAGTATTTATTTTGAAGCATAAGTTATAGTTTTAACTCTCATGAATTGAGAATTCAATACCTAATTATAACTAATTCATTGTACGATATAGTTCAAGCCTCCACTTTCTAAATATCATTGTATAAAAAATCATAAGCATTATTATTGACATTCCAAAATTCTCATTCTACACTCCAAACTTTCTATATTTAGAAAGAAAAATATACTTGTGAGGAGTGTAGAATGAGATTTTTGAAGTGCCAATAACACTTCCCAAAAATCATTTATACAGGTCTTGTCCCTTTAGGAACTTGTAAAAACAAGATCATTTAAAACAAGATCCTTTGAAGAAGAAGATTTTTTTGAGTGAGCGTCGGAATCGGAGTTTGAGGAAGAATTACCTTGTTCTTCTACAAGCGCTTGTGTACGTGTTCTACTGAGTTGTGAACGAATTTCGGTATTTTCGGATTTTAAAAACTTAATTTCTGATTTAATTTGATTAATTTCTTTTTGTAAATCCTTGATGGTTAAATCCTTTTTTGGTTTATTAAACCGTTCCAAAGTGGTGCTGAGAGAAATCTTTTGAGAAGAAGTTTGACTAGTGCCAGATTCATGAGAAGAAATCAAATTTTTGAGTTTTTTCAAATAAAAAGATTTTAAATCAGGGTCATCGACTTTACTAATTAATTCCATTAAAAACTCTTCTTGTTCTTCTTGCTTATTAAGCACTGAAATTTTATTACAACAAGTGTCCGTGCACCCAAACTTAATGTTTGGCGAGGAGACGTCGCTAGAACTGCTAGAGTCAGAGACGGAAAAATCGGGATTTTTATCAGATTGACTAGAATCGGTATTTCTAATTTCTAAAGCCTGAATAAGTTGAACCTTCTCTTCTTCAGAGATTTTTAGTTGG